TTGCCCATAAGTTATAATAATAAATTATAATATATAATTATATTATATAACTTATATTATAAGTTATAATATAAATTAAAATGCATGCAGCTATTTTTATTTGTAGAGCGGGATATAAATAACAAGGTTGGTAGATATTTTGGAGGAGACCAATCCTGATGAATTTCAGCAAGATATTTGCACTGCACTTTTATTTAGAAAGAGGTAGCTGGGATGAGGAAAAGAGAGCAGATACCAAACAAACTGATGAAGTTCTGCGTTTTGAACTAAGGCAGAAAATGTCCTGCTTCAACTGAAACATAAGCTCTTTTTCTTTACTTCTCCACTTCCTTTTCTGCTTCTGATCACTGGGCTTTGGTGGGTTGGAACACCTGTTTGTTAAGCTTGGGTTCTCTTAAAAATGACCCCTTATCATCAGGGGAATGTCAGGCCTGGGAGGTCTCTTCTGGGTGGTCTCAGAATCATTTTCTTTGACCTGTTCTTGTGGGGTGGTGTATCTTTGCTCCCTCTGATTTCTGGGACACAGTTTAGGCAGAACAGATTGGAAAAGCTTGTCCCCTTCTGAGCATGACTTGTTCCTGTCAGGGTTGGGGCTTGCTGCCCATATTTTATGTTACTTAGTCTGCAGAGGCATACAATTAGGCTTGTACAGTAAGACATAATCCATAGAGAGTCAGCTCACAAAAAATAGGATGGCTCAAAGAAAGTGGCATGTTAAGCCTCGCCAATTCTTATTAGAATTAAATGCTTGGACCAGCATCTGTAAAAGTTAGCCTAGCATACATTCATTATTGTTGAAAGAGTTAAACCTGTCCCAATTATGGATAATATAAATGTAAGTTTAGACCCGATACCTAAATGGACTTGCCCGAGCCCATAATCAGAGTGCTGAGAGCTTAGCTGAATTCCCAGTTATATTCATAGGATCAGCATAGATGTATTATATTAGCTCTAAAGAGAACAAAATTAAAGCTTCTGGCTGGACACATCAAAGAGATTAAGGAGAATAATGTCCAAAGCAAAGTTAGTCTTACTACTCCAGAAGACCTCTGATGGGCAGATAGTTTGTTGAGGTGATAAAACGTGCTACTCATGTCCATGTCAGGCAGTTCATCACACCACTCAACATCCCCTCCCCAGCATTGCCACTTCTGCAGAAACAATTGTTGGCGGCTTTTCCAAAAGAATTACATCCTTACCAAACTTTGCCTTAATGGAAACAGTGTCCCTGGGGACTAGAATGGACTCAAACATCCCTGCCCAACTCTTGTTTTAAACATACTGTTCAGGTTATGTTCACTATTAATTGAAATCGTACAGTTTCTTCAGTTCTTTATGGATTCAGTCCAAAAGATGAACACACACACAATATACACAGGATATATTGTACTTATTTCTAGTAAGTTATTGATGATAGAATTATTTGATTGAATTAATTATTTAATTGATTGAATTAATTAGAAGAGGATGATTTATTAATTTAAGATTAGAGTTTATGTACCCAGTTCATACATCTACAAATGTAAATAGCATTATGCATAAAAAACAAAACAGAAACATTTTCTATTGATCATATACCTCCATTATTGTTCATGGCTATCAATGCTGTGCATTATTTATAAAATGTACTAGCTTATTAAAATCACACTAACTTCCCCTAAGATTGCTTTACACTGCTTATTTCTTCCCTTGACATATTAAACACCCTTATAAAGACTCATATTAACAGAACAATGGTTTGGTATGATATGAGAATCCAGCTAGTATGTTGATAAAAACTGCAAGATTTCCTCACGATTGTCCCAAGACTCAAACGTTGTTTCCTGCCACATAACTTCCTAGTTTTGCCTGTCTTGAAACTGTTGAAATCATGCAGATTTAATGTCCAGGCTGGTAATGGCAGAAATTACCTTTTTGTTCCCTCATATTTTTAAAGGCACTGAACCCTCTGAATCTAGTTCTCAGAATTTTTGCTGGAACATTTCTATGAAGTATGTCCTTCTAAAATTATAACTGGCATAGGGGGAATAGTAAGGAGTAAATCTTTTTTGAAACCTCCAAATTATAACCACTGCATTTGGAAATGCCCTTTATGCATATGTCTTTATATTTGTATATCATATTCTGAATGTGTGTTGGTACACTGCATATACTTCCTAGTTGGTGGGATGTGGTTAACAGTGTATTGGATTGCATGGTACTCTCTATATTAGCCTGCATAGAATAACATTGGGTAAAACTGGGCTTTGGTTGTGCTTGGGCAAACTGGTCAAAATCTACAACTGATCAGTACTGTCCTTACTGTTTGCAGGAAATACTGCATGTGGAATGGTATGACCAAGGCTGCTAGCATACTCTACCACTTCTGCGCAAGCCTCAGTTGACCAAAGCTGTGATGGTTAGCAAAGTTCATTATCTATGGCAAAGATAAGATAAATCTGAAACTCCAGAAGGAGGACATTCCATTCCAGACCACAGAATTTTTATCAAAGATGGGCATAGAATGGCTGGGAAAGACATGAGAAATGAGACCCAGTGACTGAAAGCCAAACTCTTATTCTGATGGATGATGGTATTGTGGATGACTAGTATCTGATGATAATGTTCCTAAGCTTAGAAGAAAACAAAATGTCCCAAAGTTCCCCTTCCACTTGGCAGTAGTATAAGAAGAATGAGGAAAAAAAGGCTAGTTAATTCAGCTCCTCATTCAACTTCTCTTCCATCAGTACAACATAGCCCCTAACACCTTCTATTCAGCTTTCATCTTGATGGGTGGAAAGACTGACTGGCTATCAATTCTTCTTATGCCTGCACCTGGGAGTAAATTACCTCACTGACTCTATTTGAATTAATTAGTCAGGAAATGCAGGATTATACATCTGATTCTTCCTTATGTGCTTAGACTGTAACTGAACAAGTAAGAGGTGGATTTGTTAGAAGAAGTTGAATGTGGTAGGAATGGGATACTTAAAAAGTATGTGTGGTATAAAGTCAAACAGAAAGGGTCAAGAATGACTGTGAGCTGAATGATGTATACTGAATACAAAACTGAGTGACCAGTATAAAGGAGGTACATGACCTATTTTGGTAATTTAGAGGAAATGAATGAGGATTGCATTATAAAACAAATATAGGAAGGAAGAGGGAATGGATGGGGTGGAAAGGGAAGACAAAGAAACCTAATGATGGAACTGAAAAGAGGCAATATAAAAACAATGTATGGTTGTGATGGCAACAAGAATGGCTTGTAAGAACAGAATGGCATTGAGGGATAAAGTGAATGTTATTAGCTTAAACTTGTTTTAGCTGTGATATTTTTTCTTATCTCAGTCTTTATTTTCTTTGGCTTAGTACTTATTACTCCTTTCTGTACTTTGCATAATACTGTTTACTCCAAAAGGGAATAAAATGATCTCTCTCTCTCTCTCTCACACACACACACACACGCACACATGCACACTCCATCCATCCAACTATCAATCTATCTTTTGGTTTTTTTCCTCAGAAGGTGCAATGAAGTGTAGTTGTTCATTGACTTTCCTAGTGATAGACAGACATACAAAGCTCTTGATTTCCTGAACAGAGATTCTAATTTGAACTTGAATGGCCTCTGAAGCTATGTTAGTTGCACGGGGTGGCATTCTTTCTTGAACAACTTGGGCCAATTGTTGTGCTCAATGTACACCTGTATTTACAGAAAGTTTTAGTATACTTTTCTCCATTCGTTAAAAAACCTGAAACAGTCTGGGCCAGGATACAAGTGAAGAAAACATGGGAAATGGCTGATTCCTCCAACATCTTTTCCACCATACATTAACCTTCCCAAGATACTTCTTCATCTGCATTTTGAAAGATAATGATTGGAATTTATTTATTTATAGAATTTTTTAATCCCACCTTTATTACTTTTTATAAATAACTCAAGGTGGTGAACATACTTAATTC